TACTAATTTTCTTACTTTTTGTAATATACCACCTATATTTGAACTTTATGGATTCTCACTGTACACATTATTCTGTATCATGCTTCTTTCACTTAACATTGTACTTGTGAGATTCAAACAACTCTCAGTCTGTTGCCGTGGGTCACTTGTATTCATTGCTGTACTGTATTCCATTGTGTTCATATGCTATGTGTTTTTCCATCTAATCTTGATGGATAGGGTTGTTTCTAGTTCAAGTATATTATAAACAATGTTGCCAAGAACATTCTTGCACATGAATCCTGGTGCACATGTACTCTTGCTCTTTTCTAGGATGATAACCTAGGGTGACTTCCCTTTAATCCAGGCTTAGTGCACTCAGGCTTCTTCTCTATCTCCTCTTTCAAAGCTAGCTCTCAGGAAAGGATCATACATTCACTCGTGCTAAGGTATAAATGGCCAAGAAAGATGAATAGGTATCCTCTCCCATATAAATGTGAGAAGAGATCCAGTGGATTCATTTCTGATTGTAGAATTTTAAGTATCAGGGAGCTAGTAGAAGAGAAATCCATTAAGGTTGGCCCTGGAAAAAAATATCACATGGTGCTAATGTCATGAACCAAGAAAACGAAACACACCAGCCAAGATGTAATATTCTCTTTGAAAGGTTTAAAACTGGGCATAAGAAATGAAGTCCCTACAGGGCATTGTGGCCCATGCCTATAATCCCAGCACTGTGGGAGCCTGAAGAAAGAGGACAGCAAATTCAAGCCCAGCCTGGACAATTTAGTGACTTATTGAGACCTTGTTTTTTTCTTGTTTTGTTTTTTTAAAAAGTCTGACAAAAGTTTTTCCAAGCTTCTCCAAAATCACTCATCAGTTAGTGGCTAATTAACCCAACGTGCTAGAGTAGGCAAAAAGAAACCCTTCAGGACAAGCACTGCACTTCAGCCCCAGGTGCATCAGCCACTGAGTTATCTTTTCCCAGCCTCATTTCCTCTTCTGTAAAATTGACATGATGATAGTACTTAACCTCATCAGGCTGTTGTGAAAATAAAACAAGGTAATGACTGAATCACATTTCATGCTGTGCTTGCCACTTAGTAAGTGCTCAAGCAATATTCGGTAGCCTGCTGCTTATTTTTTTTTTTTTTTGTACTGGGGATTGAACTCGGGACCTTGCACTTGCAAGGCAGCCACCAGAACCACTGAGCTAAATCCCCATCTCCGGCGCCCTCCTGCTTATTTTTATTATTTGAAACTGAACACAGGCACTTTCTGTGAGTCAGGTGCCATAGTTTGGATCTTGAATGTCTCCCAAAGGTCAAAGTGTTAAAAGCTTGGTCTCCAGGGTGGTGCTATTAGAAGGCAGAGGAATTCTTAGGAGGTGAAGCTTCCCAGGAAGTCTTCAGGTCACTGAGGGTGTGCCTTTGTAGGAGATTGTGGAACCCCAGCCCTTTCCTCTGCCTCTTTTGCTCTTTGGCTAAGAGATAAGCAGTTTGCTCTGCCACATGTTGCCTGCCATTGCTGTTGTCATTGCCATCTAGCTACCCTGTTAGAGGCTTAAAAGCAAAGGTCCTCCCTAATCATGGAACTTCTAAAACCATGGGCCAAAGTAAGCCTTTTCTCTTTATAAGTTAATTTATCTCAGGTATTTTGATATAGTGACAGAAAGCTGAGTAACACATCAGGTAAGCCAATGTATAGGGCTCCCTGATGCTGTTGAAGAGCCTGGGAGCCTCAAAGAGTAAATGGGAGAGAAGAGGAAAAGAAAGAGAAATGAAAACTATCTGCTGGGCAAGAGGAGAGTGTGGAGTATCCAGAATCAGGTTGCGGAAGGCCCACCAGAGAGGAGAGTGGAGTGGGCCAGAGAGACAGAGGGAGTGCTGCCATAGGTCAGGTCCAAGGAGAAGTTTGAGTGGGTTGAGCTGGGTCAGGACAGAAAGGTCAGGTATAGTCAATACATGAATAGTACAGTGCAGGGAAAGAAGGTCAGATAGCAGCAGACTAACACATGCATACCCTCAGGGCAGCCACTTGAGGCTGTAGTAGACCTTTGGAGAATTGGTCTATGACTTCAGACACAGCTGTGGTCAAGAGCTCCTAGACACACGGGTGGCTTTCCATCTATGCACCAGCAGTCCCTCCGCTTTTCTGCCTCAGGATTTTGGCCTCATCTTGGGAGCTCGCTCAGTCTACTTGCAGGTACAGCCACAGCAGAAATGTAGGTGTGGTCAAGGGTGAGAGAGTGGGAGGTGTCAAGGAGGAAGAAAGATGGTAGGTAAATGTCCCAAACCCCCATACTTCAGCAGGATAATTGTAGGTGGTTTTTATATTGTTCTTCAGAAGGTCTCCAGGGAGATTAATTAATGACAGCAAAGCTCAATAATACATTTGTTGGCTTTACCTTCCTTCCCTGTATTTCTCTTCCCTTTTCCTCACCCTCTTCCTGGGATATCATTCCAAGCCAGCCATTATCACCTAAGTTCTCGTTTCAGGCTCTACTTTAGGAAGGATACACACTAAGTTGTACTATTATCATCTGACACAAATCTGGCAGCTGAGATTCAAAAAAATCAAAAACCTAGCTCAGAGTTGTTAAAAAATGATCAAATTGGAAATTAGGATTTTTTTTGCCCAGACAAAATTTCAAGAATAGAGTTAAGATCACAGCAAAAGCTAGATGTACACAGATAAACCAGTTGAATGTGGACAGGCATATGAATAGAAGAAAAACAAGAATATTAGAAGAAAATGTACTCAAACCTGGAAATATATGCAAGATCATACATGAGGTTGTTCATTGCAGGGCTGTTTGTAGTAATGGGAGTCAGGGCCTTAGGGGCTCAATACCGGGAGAAGGGATGTATCACAGTTAAAAAGCAAGAGCTAAGCATGCCATGGCCATGGGTACAGGTGGTAAAACAGCGTTAAGAGAAAGCAGTCAGAAATAGGATAAGATTTATGGCACAATATCAATTTTATAAATATGCTGTATTTAGAAAGGGTGATCAAAATATACGGTGAATGTTTACATTTAAAAATTTATTACTATGAAAGACATAATGCCATTAATCCCCCTCAAAAATATTCCCACTCACTTTGCACACACATATTCCATCATTCTTGCTACTTTCTGAAGCAGTTGTGGAAGTGCTTCTTCATGAGCATCTTTACAAGGGGTGATTAAAAAAATAAAAAGATGAATGCTGCTACCAAGTGCCATCCATTGGAAAGGCAAGCTTGTAAAACATTAGTGTGTTCTCATCCATCTTGCCATATCTGGTGCAGTGTGACTTCTTGCTCTTCCCCAAAGTCAAAATGACTATTAAATGTAAACATTTTGAATCAATTCAGGACATTGAGGCAGCTATGATAGTGTGACTATAGGCATTCACAAGAGGATTTGCAGGACTGCTTCAGAAAGTGGCAAGAACTATGAGATAAGCATCTTTGAAGCAAAGGGAGACCTTTTAGGGGGATTAATAATAGTGTCTTTTACCTTAACAATTTTTTTTTGGTACTGAGAATTGAACTTGGGACCTTGTGCTTGCGAGGCAGGCACTGGAACCACTGAGCTAAATCCCCAGCCTACCTTAACAATTTTTAAAAATTTAAACATTCACCTTATTTTTTCAGACCTTGTATAACATTGCATAAAGAAATAGACAAATACTATAATACCTACCAAACACAATATAGTGATTATCTATGGAAGACAGGGGGAATGGGAGTGGGATAAGGGGACTAAACAAACAAAAAGAGGTGCCTTACATGGACTGATAATGGTTGTGGAGTATGAACTGAGAGGCTGAGGAGCATGATTGCTGTGATTTGAATATGGTTTGTCTCCTATGAAAGCTCATGTTCAAATTTGAGATATTAAGAGGGTGGAAACTTAATCAACTATGATGTTTAGAGGTAGGACCTTTGGTGATGAGCAGTAGATGAGGTCATCAAGACCAAAGCCACATGGTTGAATCCTAGTGGCTTTCTAAGAGGGAGTGAGGACGCATTTCACACTGGCCTGCACACACTCCCTTGCCATGTGCCACTTCCGGTGCTGCTTCAGAACTCTGCCAGCAAGAAGATTTTCATCAGATGCAGCCCCTCAATCTTGGACCAGAATTGTGATCCAAAATAAACCGCTTTTCTTTAAAACTTACCTAGTCTGTGGTATTGTGTCGTTAGCAACAGAAAAAGCACTAACACAGTGATTAACACAATTCTTTACACCTGGGATCCAAAATGGAACGACTAAAGCAAGAAGGAAAACGTAGGAAGACAGTGTGTAACTGTAAAGAAGGAAAAGTCTCGTGAAGTATAAAATGAATAAATGATAAAGGAAATATGACCACATGAAAACAGACATTTATAAGAATGTCAACACAAGGCCAGGGATTTAGCTCGGTTCCACCATCTGCCTCACAAGTGCAAGGACCCGAGTTCAATCCCCGGTACCAAAAAAAAAAAAACACAAAAAACAGCAACAACAAAAGAATGTCAACACAATATTTTAATAATAGCTAAAATTTGAAAACAAGTTACGGTTCATCAAGAGGGAAATGGTTAATTGTGGCCTATTTATACCAGAAAATATTCAGGGATAAAAACAACAACAACAAACCGAGGCAGACCTACAAGTGCGACAAAGAGCTCAAAATGCAAGGAGGCCATCCTGAGGGTGGTGCACGGTCTTGCTTTCCTCACCTTGACCTGGACTCCACCTGGCTACATCAATAGGCAAAAGAAGGTCAAAGAACAGCAAGTACAATACAAGGCAATTTACAGTATAAAAATGGTGGAGAAACACAAAAAGAAATCTGTGTTTTACCTGTACATCTTATACATATATAAATACCCAGAATAAATTCTGGGAAATTAAAAAATATGTTTAGAACGCATGTAGAAAACATGAAAGGATTGCTACATGATTAGTTGCTCCGAGGCCAGGACTTCCAGAACAGTTTTGAGAAATATTTTTCCCAAAGTCACTGGATTCTTACACACTGTCTCTCCAGGGTCCTTTGGCTGGAGAACCGCCCTGAGCCAGAGACTGCACTTCCCCAAATTTTCCAGCAGGGGGCAGAAGCACCATGAGCCTGCAGCCCAGACAGACTGCCCTGTGACCTGGAATTTAGCCTGGGCCCCATCTGCTATCAGTCGACTTTTGGCCAACTTGTTTACCATTAAAGGTTGGTTATTTGAAATTTTTTTTTCAGAGTAGCAGAGTCAAATATGTCTCTTGCCTGCATGTTTTTAAAATTCTGAACGTGTATTTGAGTTCAGGGTAAGGACCTAAGGAATTAGCTTACTTTATTATAATTGAAATAAAATTAATTTGTTATAAGAAAAAAAGTTTTGTAGGGCCAGGGATTTAGCTAAGTGGTTTTGCTGTCTGCTGCACAAGTGCAAGGACCCGAGTTCAATCCCTGGTACAAAAAAAAAAAAAAAGGTTTTGTAAAGTACAAAATGGAAAAGTTTTTTAGTTTTATCACCAGGGGAGAATATTAATGTATCTCTTTACATGCAAGAAGACTTTTTTTTTTTTTAAAAGACCGCTTTATCAAAAGGGGCATCATATACTACAGCCGTGTTACAGATGCTTCATTTCAATAAACCAACAAAATGTCCTGACTTCTCTGTAGGGGCTGAATAGTAAGTGAAATTAACTATTCTAAAAAAAGAAATGTAGGCTGGGCACAGTGGAGGACACCTGTAATCTCAGCTACTCGGGAGACTGAGGTAGGAAGATCAAGTGTGAAACCAGCCTGGATAACTTAGCAAGATCATGTTTAGATATTCAAAATAAAAAGGACTGAGAGTGTAGCTCAATGGTAGAGCACCCCTAGGCTCCATCCTCAATATTGAAAAAAGAACACAAGAGAAAGAAATTTATATACATGTTGCTAACCCAATTATTTCCATGAAAGCATCCTTACATCCACTGTGTGGGCTTCAGGTCGTCCTGACTACGAGGACCAGGCACTTCCAGGAGCTAATCAGTGGAGGAGGCCAAGCTTTTCTTTGGATTCACTCTTCTAAATGACTGCTGAGTTTCGACTGCCAAGAGCTCATATGTTCTCTGATCTTTTTTGTAGGTGTCCCCACATAGTGACTTCCTGTGCGATGGCTGTTATTTCCATTTATTGGATAACAGGAGATAGTCATAGAGCAACTTCAAAATTCTCTCTGGGAGGAGTGACCAAATTGTCCCTGTATACTGTGTGAATTTAGGAAGTGAGGACTTTGGGATGACTGGATTTTAGCTGCTTCTCCCTTCGGGAAGGTGATTATTTCACTGTAGAAATTAATAAATTTAGCCCTTGCTAACTACATTGTATGAGAGGTTTGGTTAAAAAATGATAAAATGACTTCTTATGGAAAGGTATCAGATTTAAATTATCTTCTTTCTCGCTCTGTTCTTCCAGGTGAGCTAAACCTAAATTTCAGGAAACTTAACCAGATGCAAAAGAGAGTCTGAATTTTTTTTAAAAGTTAATTTGTTTGTTGTTTTGGAAAGGGTTCAAATAAATAGAAAGTTGAAGAATTTGCTGACAAATATGAAAATAAATATACAGTACCATTTGGGGATGGCCAATAGCCAGACAAAACTAATGCCCAAGGAAACTAAATCTAATTTTGTCACCAATTTACAAAGATTATTGAATGCAGGATTCAGAAGGAAAATGTGGTATCATCTGTTCAAATGAGTGATGAAGGATTTCCAAACCCAAACATCTTGGCAGACAATGTCTCAGACAATGGCTGAACTAAATAATCAAAACCACAGAACAGTAAACCACGAATGCAAAAGGCCCCTGGGTGGTCAGGCTAGTGGAAAGGTGACAGCTTGCCAAACAGCAAGGCCCCCTTGGAAGAATTCTGCAGTTGTATTCCTTCTTTGTCAGGATTGAGGTCATAGATTGTCTTGCTTTAAACCACCAAGCTTTACAGTACTGGCAAAGTACTGTGATAGACTACCTCTCATCTTGGTCTGTGGCAGGACACAGGCTAATCGGAGGCTGAAAACATATTTTATTATTTATACATTTGTTTTTGGCATGCTGGAAGCCAAAGGTTTTTAGAGGTATGAATGTCTGTTTCATAGAACTAAATACAAACAGCTTTATTAAGGTCATGGCTCTTCTCATTGTAAAGGCAACAACAGATGATACAGAGAAAATTATCCCAAACAAACCTGAGGTAAAACACATTTGCCCTTGGGAGATGATAAACTGAAAATGAAGAGAAGGGGTAATACATATAAATGTACCAGCTAAAAACTGTAAAACTCTCAGAAGAAAACATAGCAGTAAATCTTTGTGATCTTAGATTGAGTGATATCACATCAAAAGTACAAATGACAACCAAAAAATAGATAAATCAGACTTTATCAGAGTTAAAGCCTGTTTTTTTTTCCCCTCTTGTGATACCCAGGGCCTTGCACTGAGGTACATCACCAGCCCTTTTTAAATTTTTAGACAGGGCCTCAATAAATTGCCCAGGTTGTCCTCAAACTCTTGATCCTCCTATCTCAGCCCCCTAAGTAGCTGGGATTATAGGCATGAGCCACCACACCTAGCTCAAAATTAACACTTTTAAATTTCAGAGACACCATCAAGAAAGCGAAAAGACAATGCACAGAATCGGAAAAAATATTTGCAAATCATATATCTAACAAGGGACTTATAGGGTGAATATGTGTAAAAACATTTTCAACTCAGCATTAAAAAGACAATTCAATTGTTTTTCTTCTGTATTGGTGATTGAAACCAGGACTTCACACTGAGCTACATCCCCAGTCCCTTTCATTTTTTTTTTTTTGTTTTGGTATCGGGGATCAAACTCGGGTCCTTGCACTTGCGTAGCAGGCAGCGAAACCACTAAGCTAAATCCCTGGCCCGTCATTTTTCAGTTTTTGAGTTAAGGTTTTGCTGTTTGCCCAGGCTGTCCTTAAAGTTGTGATCCTTTCATCTCAGCCTCTGGAGTAGCTGGGATTATGGGGATGTGCTACCATCTAGCAACAACTCAAGTTTTTTTTTGGTACTGGGGATTGAACTTGGGTCCTTGCGCTCACGTAGCAAGTGGCAAAACCACTGAGCTAAATCCCCAGCCCTGCAACTCAAGTTTTTAATGGCCAAGGAAATAGATATGCAGGGCTGGGATAGTAAGCACCATTACCAGCAGGGATATGCAAATCAAAACTATAGTGAGATACCACTTCAAGTACACTAGAATGAGTATAATAAAAAATATGCTGTAATAACAAGCGCTGGCAAGGATATAGAAAAATTAGACCTTCATATATTGCTAGTGGGAATGTAAAATTATACAGACTTTTGGCAGTTCCTCAATGAGTTAAACAAATAGGTCTTTTCCTAGAGATAATACCAAAGAGAATTGAAAACATTGTTTCCACAAAAGCTTATATATAAATGTTCTTACCATCATTATTCATTAAGGCAGGAAAGTGGAAACAACCAAAATATTCATCAATTGATGAATAGATTAAAAAATGTGGTACAGTAATATAATGAAATATTAGTCAGCCATAAAAAAAGAATAGGCTACAATATAGACAAGCCTTGAAAACACTGTGGTATGTTAGGTTGGAGGTGTAGTCCAGTGGCCGAGCATTGCCTAACATGAGCAAGACTCTAAGGTACCACACAAAAAACCAAAAAAACAAAAACCAAAAAAACATTGTGCTATTTGAAAGAAGCCAGACACATATATTACACAATCACTTTTATATAAAGTATCTAAAATAGATAAATCCAGAGGACAGAAAGTAGAAGGCATGGGCTGAGAGGAAGTGGGAATGGAAAGTGACTGTCAATGGTTATGGGATTTCTTTTTTGGGGAGTGATAAAAATATTCTAGAATTAGGTAATGGTGATGGTTGTGCAACTCTGTACACATACTAAAATCACCATATTTCACACTTCAAAGAGGTGAATTTTTTGAGATGTGAACTCTATCTCAATAAAGCTGTTAAATAAATTAGAAGGGATGAAAATAAATAGTCACAGATTGTCTGATCCCCTCTTTCAGATGAGCAGGAGCCCTGAGTGTGGAGCTCGAATGCCAGCTTCTGAGGGAGGCAGCGTAGGAGAAGGCACCCACAGGCAGAGGTGTAAGCAGCGCTCATCAAGGCGTCACTGCTCACTGGGAACATCCAGGTAGGTGGCAACCCATAAAAGCTGAGGCAACTGGAATTGAGCAAGAGAGATGGCCAAGAAGGTGGGAGCTGACCTATTTCCTGAGATAAGGATAGCTTTTGCCCCTTGTGTTGGGGATTGAACCCAGGGAGTCCTGCATGCTAGGCAAGCTCCACACCAATATAAATAAATACAGAGGTTTAAAAAGAGGACTTAGGGCGGGGGATTTAGCTCAGTGGTTCCGACACCCGCCTCGTAAGTGCAAGGTCCTGAGTTCGATCCCCGTACCCCAAAAAATTAGCATTTATTTTTAAAAACACATATGCTTTTTTTTATTAGTACACAGCTGCACTACATAATGATTACACTCATCATGGGGAGTCGGTACATGTACGTAGCACATCTTATTTCTTAACCATTTAACGTTTTTTTGTACCTTGTGCTTTTGAGGCAGGTGTCAGCACCACTGAGCTAAATCTCTGCCCCAGTCATTTAACTTTTTAAAGCTCTTTCTCCCTGTCCCCCTTCCCTCCACCTCTTGGTCCCCTTCCCATTTGGAAAAAGATCTATTTCCCTGTTTCCTACTTTTCTTTTTTTTTTTGTACTGGGGTTCAAACTCGGGTCCTTGCGCTTGCACAGCAGGCAATGAAACCACTGAGCTAAATCCCCGGCCCAACAGAGCAATTTTATAGATTGCCTGGAACCAGGTCTGAGCAGGATAAGAGCTATTAGAAGTACCAAGGAGAAATTGTGTGGTTTTCCAGGAAACTGGAAGTCATCATCTATTGTTTCCAAATTGATTTCATTTTATTCAGTAAGCTTGTGCATTTGCTTTCTGGTAGACCTGGGCAATAAAGGGAAGAGTAAGAGCCAGGATGGAAACAGGTACGAGTGTGGAGAAGGGTCACCAGTCTTGGGCAGGGTATAGTGACTGACCAGGTAATGATTTGATTCTCCGAGTCCACTTGGACATTGAATCCTATTTTAATTGTAACGTGGTCCAAAAATGCCTGTGGTTATGAACTGAATTGTGACTGTCCCCACCTCCCAAAAAAGATATGTTAAAGTCTTCACTCCAGTACCTCAGAACTTGACCTTATGCAAATAGGTCATTGCAGACCGAATTAATTAAGATGAGGTGATACTGGAATAGCACAGATTCCTGACCCAATATGACTGTGTCCCAAGAAGACAGATGAGACAGACGGAGAGAACACATGTGACAATGGTTGTGGCGGTGGGGGTGCTGCAGCTACAAGCCAAGGTGAGGAAGTGAAGAACGGGCGAAGGGCTGCTCTGCAATTCTTCCATCATCAAGCCTCTAGGAGCGTGAGACAATACACTCTGTCATGTCAAGCTGCTGAGTTTGTGGAACTTTGTTATGGCAGCCCCAGGAAACCATTAGAGCCTCTAAAGGCTGAGGTTTTATCAACTTGCTCAAAAACCCAGTCTGTAGTCCATTTGAAGGGTAGAATTTCTCTACTTGTTTCTATTTAAATACTTTCAAAGCCAGGCGTGGTGGTGCACGCCTGTAATCCCAGCCCCTGGGAAGCTGAGGCAAGAGTTCAAGTCCAGCCTGAATTATATAGTGAGACCCTGTCTCAAAACAAAACAAACAACACAATGAAAAACAAAAATCTTTCAACCCCCTGGGTCTCTAGTGCTGTTCCTGGGAGAGCTAGAGGTTCCCGATACAGCCTAGGTCTCTGACGCTGGTGAAATGGGCTCAGCCTCCTTGAGAAACACCTAGAAGTGCCATTTACAGGTCTTGTGAGCCTAAACTAATGAGAAAATTTGGCTTCTTTTTTTCTAGTTTTTTTTTTGAGGGGGGGAGCTTGAGTAGGGTCTTACAATGTGGCTCAGACTGACTTTGAACTTACTATGTAGGCCACACTTGCCTTGAACAGGTGATATCCCTGCCTCATCCTTACGAATTCTGGGATTACAGGCAGGTTTCACCATGCCCGGCTCTTTTTCTAGTTGTTTTTTTTTTTCTCCCAGTACTGGGGATCAAACTCAGGTCCTTGCGCTTGCGTGGCAGGAGGTGGAACCACTGAGCTAAATCCCCAGCCCTCTTTTTTTAGTTTTTAACAGATATCGCAGAACTTATACTTCCATATGCCTAATAGTCTTTCTTATTCACTCATTCAACAATTCTGTCCAAACTGCATGTGGTGGCTGATGCCTGTAACCCAGCTACTCAAGAGGCAGAGACAGGAGGATTTTGAGTTTGAGGTTAGTCTAGGGAAGTTAGCAAGACACTGGCTCAAACAAAACACAACAAAACCCCATAAACAAAACACACTCACAAGGAGCACACTTACTCTGTGTCAATGGCCCCTGCCCTCCCTGTGCCCCCAGGCTGGACTGCTCCATACTACTCCATTGTGCCTTTCCAGCCTCCTCACTGAGCAGTACTCACCTGCCTTGCAGCACACCCCAGATGGGGCAGCCTCCACCTCTGAAGGATGATGGGAGTTCTTGGATCATCCAGTGTCCTTAGAGCCACATCTAGGGAATAAGATATATGATTAACCAGGAAAGAGAAAAAGAAAAAAAAAGACAGTCTCTGTTTTTCCCCTAAGAAACCCCAGGGGGAAAAAAAATTCAAAATATTTTAAATAGCAATTCCAATGGAGTATGTTCATAGCTCATAGGGTGAGGATAGGGAAGAACAATGTCAGTTGGATATAAAAAGTGACCTTTTACATCATGGTCATATAAGGAGACCCTTTGATTCAAGCCCAGGTTCTCATGTGGTAGCCTGTCATCTTCCATTGTTGTGTTTCCTGCCCTCTCAAAAGAAGATCGGCGGTGGGGGCCGGGATTTAGCTCAGTGGTTTCGTCGCCTGCGCAAGTGCAAGGACCCGAGTTCGATCCCCCATACCAAAAAAAAAAAAAAAGAAGAAGATCGGGGAGAGGGGGTGGGGGAGCAGCAGAAGCATTCATCTCTTCCTTCTTCCTCTTGAGGAAATAGATGGTGAGTGGTACAGGGCACACACCTTTCAGTTCTGCCAGTTGTCCCCAGTGACACTTGGTTGCCTTCATTCTTTTTCCTGACCTCTCCAGGACTCTGCTTCCAAGGCTGTCATCTAATTGCAGCTTCTGTAACGAATCACAAGACACACAGCCTGCAGACACTCACCAAGTTGAGCTGCAAGTGAAAACAGGAAGCAGCCTGAACTTTCCATCCACAGAGGGAAGTGAGTGTCTTGAGATGCCTGAGAAAGTGACTCTGGTGCTTCTGCTAGTAAGCTGGTTTCTAAGTCCATCTCATGCCTTTGTGCGTGGTGTGTGCAAATGGCAAAGTTTAGATGCAGGAGGCAATCACACATCTAATAACTGCACTGTTAAGGCCGCCATCTCTGCAGAGGAGAGACATTCATCCATTCATTCACCAAATATGTGTGAACTGACCTGCAGTTTGATAGGCAGTGGGAAATCTAAAGCCAGAAGGAAACACAGTTTCTACCCTTGAGGCTGCTTGTGGTGGGGAGATAGATAAACAGAATCTGGCAGGATATGGCCTGAAGCTAATCATGACAATTTGAGCCACTCTGGTAGGTCTTGAAGGTCTATCCCAGCATCCAAGTCACCCTACTCCAGAGTATTCCATGGCTAGGCCCAATATGGGGGGCCTCTGCTAGGAATCACCACCAAAACTCCTGAATCACCCCCCTCTCCCCACTAGTCACTTTTCTCTTGTTCCTGAGACAAAATACCCAGCACCAGAAGTTAAAGAGGAAAGGGCTTATTTAGCCCACAGTTTATAGAGGTTTCAGTCCGTAATCAGCTGGCTCCAAGGCAGGGATGGCAAACAGACAATGCAGAGGAGAAACAATCTGGCCCACACAAGGTGGAAAAGGTAACCAGGGATCTTCAACGAGTATTTCTGCCTCATTTGTCTCATCCAGACTACCCGGATTAGGGTGATGCCAAACCAACCACTCATGTGTAGTGGTTTAGTAATCACATGCCCTTAATCCCAGCATTATGGATTCCAGATTCAGCTACCTCTGACCACATGAGGCTCTGGAGGGCCATCCAGACCCGAACCATAACACCCCCCTTTTCATAACGTCTGATCCTTCCCCAAAGTGCCTCTCACGTTGAAGTTGGTGCATCTCAGCTTTCATCTCATCACACCCCAAAAGCAGGATCTTAGCTTTTTCCTCCTCCCACATCACCCTGGCTTAGCAAAATACACTTGACTCAGGTATCTCTCAAGATTGCCTTCGGATCTCACAGCCAGGCTCTTTTTCAAAGTAGCTACATTTACCCTTGATGTTTACAATGAGAATCTAAACAGAAATGCCTTCTCTCTCTCCCTGAACTGTGATTGTGGTTAGAGTGGGTGTCCCAAAGTTTCATCTGTCGAAATTTAATCCAAATTTTGAGGTACTAAAAGATTGGAAACTTAATCTCACTATGGCGTTTAGACATGGGAGCATCAGGAGGTGATTAGGATTAGAGAAAGCCATCAGGGTGGCATCTCCATGATTTAATATTGGTGGCTTATTGGACACACATGTTTAAATACAGCATTGTTTCTCTGGTGTGAGAAACTGAAAGTGAAAACAAGGACTGAAATGCATGATAGATGTTGGGAAATGGGAAGAAAGTGTTCAAATGGGAAGGAGAACAAAGGAGGAGGGAGGGAGAAAGGAAGGAAGGGACACGAAAAGAAGTGAAAATAGAAGGGGAAAATGGAAACAAAGCTTTTGTACATAGCGAGAGGAGGGGACTTGACGGGAAGAATGGGAGAAAATAAAATAAAATTTATTTAAAAAATAATATTGGTGGCTTGCTAAAAAGAGAGGAGGCCAGAATCCTTCCTTTCTCTCCCCATCTCTTGCCATATGATGCCCCTTGAGACCTCCAGATTCTACCAACAAGAAGGTCATTACTAGGTACTGCCCCTTGACCTTGGACCAGAGCCAAAATAAATATCACTGAGCTACATCCTCAGTGATGTATTTTATCTTTATTTTTTATATTTTATGTTTTACTTTATTTTTTCATTTTTTGTATTTTGAGACAGGATCTTGCTAAATTCTCCAGGCTGGACTTGTGATCTTTCTTCTTCAATCTCCCTATTAGCTGGGATTTGTCTAGCAAATAAATCTCTTTTCTTTAAAACATACCCAGTATGTGACATTGTATTATTTGCAACAGAAAATGGACTAATTTACTATTTCTTGAAAAAGTTGGGTGCTCTGTCCTATAGGACAAAGCTTTCCACAGTCTGAAAGTTCCTGATAACATTTTCTTGGTGTCATTTGACATATTCCTCTATCTTCTATACTTTAATAGATATTTTTTTTGAGGCTTCCGTAGATTTAGATCTATTTTGGCCAGGATATTTCTAAGTTTGCCGAGCTTGAAATACAAATACAGAATGCCCAGTTAAATGTGAATTTTTTTTATAAACTATGAATAATTTTAGTATGTCTCATGGAATACTTGAGCTATATGAAAATTATTTGCTATTTATTTGAAATTCAAATTTAACTGGGCATTCTTTTTGTTGTTGTTGTTTTTGGGGTTTTTTTTGGTACCAGGGATCGAACTCGGATCTTTTTGCTTGCAGGGCAGGCAGCGGAACCACTGAGCTAAATCCCCGGCCCTGGGCATTCTTTTTAATCTGGGAACCCTAACTATATACAAGATGCATTGTGACCATCTATCAGGAGTTAAATAATATCTACCTGTCTCTTTTGTGATGTTAACAGCTTTTGATGATAGTGGCCAAAACTAATTATTTCTTTGAAGGTTGCAAAATGATATTTTAATTCCATATTTTTCCCTTTTATTTTTCAGCGGAATATGACTATAAAGAGAAAGTTTCCTTCATTAGCTGATTAACCTGGTTATTTTCATACAGAGAAGCCAGGACACATGCTTAACTCTCTCCTGTTATTTACCAGTTTTCAGAAAAATGAATTGATTCCTTAGCATCCTCCAAAGGTGACCAATGAGTTGTATTCTTTCCTTTTAAAGTAGTATAAATTTAGGGATTTTGACATGTATCTTTTGATCCAGAGCGATCATTATTCCTTTAGACTTTCAAATTGTGCTTGTCAGCCATTGGGAGCCTCTTGAACTTGACATCTGAATTCCTCTGATGCCACCACGGTATTCTATGTTAACTTATTTGTTTTCTGGTGTAACAAGATGTTACAGACTCATCTTATGCATTTCTAAGCTCAGACTTAGATTCAGAGATATTTATTAGAAGTCCTTTCATGGAAAATAATATTTAGAGATCAAATATTTCTAAGTCTTCCATTTAAAATTTCAATCCCCTTGAGGGGGGTGCATATATATTGGGCTAGGAATATAGCTCAATGGGAGAGCATTTGCTTCGCATGCACAAAGGTCTGGGTTCCATTTCCAGCACCATACATAAAATAAAATGAAATATTGCACATGATTTCAGTGTGCTAATGAGGCCCAACTAGCCCAACCCAAAGTTTATTTAAAAAAATAAAGGAAAACAAACCCAACAGCATATAAACACATGCTTAGGTTCCCTAACAGCAGCTTACCCTGATTTTTTCCCCTTTCATTTATCATCTTCTAAATACTATAAACTTACTTTAATTATGTTGATTTCCTGTCTTCCACCTTAAGACTGTAAGGTCCTTAAATGGAGGGACTTTTCTCTGCTTGTTCACAAGGTAGAGAATAAATATGCCTTTAATGAAAGAATGGCAGAATGTCACCAAATTACATTCTGAAATGTTCATTCTCACTGCTGGTGGAGAATGAATTTAGGAGGGACCTTTGTGAAGCAGGGAGCCCTGTTAAAAAGCTATTATGGGGCCGGGGATTTAGCCCAGTGGTTCCGTCACCTGCCTCGCAAGCGCAAGGACCTGAGTTTGATCCCGGTACCAAAAAAAAAAAAAAAAAAGCTATTGTGCGTGGGGCCAGGGATTTAGCTCAGTAGTCTTGCCGCCTGCTGCACAAGTGCAAGGACCCAAGTTCGATCCCCACTACCTATTATGCATGTCAAAAATGTACCAATAAATTTAATTTTTTTTTTGGTACTGGGCATCAAACTCAGGCCCTTGCACTTTTGAGGCAGGCAGTGGCACCACTGAGCTAAATCCCCAGCCCAAAATTAATTTTTAAAAAAGCTATGTCATTTCTCTATGTGGAAAATGATAGTGGCTTAGGCTAGGAAAGTGTCTGTGGAGATGGAAAGAAGAGTAGAGTAGTGACAAGAGATATTGGACTAAAACTGACTGAACATGGTAATGGATTACTTGTGGAGGATAAGTGGAAAGGAAGAAGGAAAGATGACTCTAGAATTTGATCTGAGTAAACAGATGGATAAAGGTGCTGAAAGGATGGGGGAGTTATAAGAGAAGATGTGGAGATTTTGAGGATAAAGACAATCAAGAGCTCCATTTTGCATGTATATTTGAGGTGACCATTAGCCAAGTGAAGATGAAAGGCAGGCAACTGGATGAATGAGTCTGGGTTTGGGATGGAGATGGAAGATTGGGAGTCATCAGGATTTAGATCCTTAGGGCTCTGGGATGGATCAGATCATCTTAAGAGACTAGAGTTAAATGAGACTAGACACTATTTTTGGACCAAGGCCTGCGATATCCCTGCATGTACAGACCAGATGAAGAAGGAGTAACCTGCCAAGGAGACAGAGAAGAGGAGGCTTAAGAGGTGGAAGGGAAACCAGGGGAGCGGATCATTGTGAAAACCAAGAAGGAAAGATGCATCAAGGAGATGGAAGTGGCCAGCTGTGTCAGATGCTTCAGAGGGGTGAAGTTTGATGAGGAGACAGACACATTGGATTTTGCAGCTTGGGAGGTGCTGGTGACCTCGATAAGAGAAGTTTCAGTGGAACAGTAAGTCCAGGTGAGTGGACAGGAAATGAAGAATGGAACTAGGAAGAGCAGAGTATTATTTCAGGAAGTTTGTGATCAAGGGGAGAAATGGAATCAGGAGCTGGAGAGCAATGTAGGGGCAAGGAAAGGGAATCTTCAAGATGGGAGATGTCCCTGTTGTAGCAGGAGAGCCTATTGACCCAAGGACTGAGAAGCAATTGCAAAAGACTGTTGGCTGAATCCATGGAAGAAATAAAGACCTGAACCAGAACAGGTCAGAAAAACTGAGTTAACTTATGAAGCAGGTTGACCTAGGGTCTCCCAATTTTGCATCAGGAGGCAAATGCCAGGTT